ATGGCTGCTGTCAGAGATGTGCAGGTCACCCAAGGCACAGAGCATGCTAAGACTGAAAAAAAAAGACAAATTTGATATAAAGAATATACAGCCCTTTATATGGTTGGTGTAGCTCAGTGGATTGCGTGCAGGCTGTGAACCAAAGCATCACCGGTTCGATTCCCAGTCAGAGCATGTGCCTGGGTTGCAGGCTAGGTCCCCAGTGGGGGCCATGTGAGAGGCAACCACACATTGATGTTTCTCTCCCTCTCTTTCTCTCTCCCTTCTCCTATCTCTAAAAATAAATAAATAAAATCTTTTTTAAAAAAGGAATATATGGAGACATATATTGAGAAGATCCAAACAACCTTCCAGTTCTAAAATCTGAGCAGGAGGATTCTCCACCCGGAGCAAATGTAAGCGTGAAAGGTTTGGTCTATGAAATTTCTAGGTGACAGGTAAAGGGAATATCCTGGGATCCTGCTGACACAGGAGGGATCAAAAGGAAACACAAGGTGAGCAGAATTGAAGGGAGCCCACAGTCATAAATTCTACTTGAAGATTTGTCAGAAAGGACCTAGGAACTGTAAGTGCTGCCACGGAAACCTTCTTGCTGGAAGGCATAAAAACTTTAGATGTCCTTCTTCAGAAAAAGAGGCTATCATTTATACGTAGTGATTATGTTTTTAAACAGAATATTGTATCTCCAACAATCTTTTGATAAAACATTTCTCTCAGTCACTACATTATAAGGTTACAAGGGTGCTTCTCAAACAACCAGCATGGATTGACTAGAACCTTAGCACAACTGAAATCATCACCCTTTCTCTCTTGTCTCCTTCTTCACTTTACTTCCTTCCTCATCTCTCTCTCTCCCTCTCTCTCTCTCTCTCTCTCTCTCTCTCTTTCTCACAAACACACAAACACACACCACTACCACTACTACTAAATCCCTGGCTATGTCTATGGCTGCTGACACACACACTGGTTATGGAAACACTGGGGGTTGGTTTGTTTTCCTTAGTGTTATTGTAGGGAAGAAATTACACTAAGATCAAAAACATCTGTAACAGCCACCTTTGTCTGATATTTTATACATGTGTGTCAAATAAATTTCAGAATTGTGGGAAGTCACTGTAGCACTTCATGAGTCCTAAGAGTTTTCTACTATCTTCTTAGGTTGTTGAAAAAACATGTCATGAAATTACTAATGACCCATATCCAAGAAGGCAATTAAAAGGCATCTCCTAGGAACACTCTGGCTATAGAGACTGAAGTTTATTCAGAGACATAAAAAGAAAATGTAAATCAATAGGCCAAAGAAATTGGTTTATAAATAAAAGACAATTTCTGAGATGTTGAAAGAAAGTAGCAAAAACTCACAAAAGGAAAAGGACCAACTTTTGGACCAGGGCTTCATCATGAAATCAAGACAAAACTAAAGGAAAGGAAAAGAGAAGAAAGAAAGGTTTATGCACAATATGAAGTTGAGAGGGAATAAGATCAATTATGAATCAAATGAAATTTTGAAAACTCAGCTGAATCTATGTGAAAATTTTCAGTGTAGGTAGATTCAGGAGGCAGATGGTAAAAAGTGATGAAAGAGTTGTTGGTGCTTCTACTGACTAGCCTCTTAAAACTTATCACCAGGCCTAGGGAGAGGCTTAGGGTTGCAGCAATCCAGCTAAAGAGGCCACTACACTCCCAAAGGCAGACAACACAGATGAGCTCACTAGGGCTTTCACAAAGGAATTGGGGCCGGAATTCAAAGACTGAATTTTTCTGCCACGTATCTTCATCAGAAACCTAACTGGAGTGGGTCTAAGAACAGGAGAACTTCGCTATGACCATCATGGACATCTGCAACTTCATTCATTTATACAACAAATTTAGATTAAGCATGGTGTTGAAAATTATTAAATTGGATCTACAAAAGCAAAATAAAGGCAAGCAGAAGCCCTACTCTCACAGAGCTTACATACTGATGGAAAAGAAATACAGAGTCAACATGGTTTCAGGTCTTAGTAGGTACAAGGAAGAAGAAAAAAGTTTCAAGGGCAGAGAACAAGAGTAGTTGGCACTGGGGTGGCTTTTTTAATAGTAGGGTAGCACTGTGAGGAATTTCTGAAGAGGAAATTTGAGTGTGAGTCTGTGTGAATTCAGGACACAACACAGAGGAGGGGTGTTATAAGCAATGGGGTAGACAAAAACAAAGACCCTGAGACAGGACTCAGCTTGATGTGTAGAGTGCCCGCACAATGGCTCAAATGGATGAAGAAGAATAAGCAAGGGTGGAAACGGTAGAAAGTGAAGAGGGTAAGGCAGGCAAGTTTCAGACCATTAAGGCTTTGATAAAAGGGAAAGGGAATCTGAATTTTATTTTATGTGCACTGGAAAACATTGAAGGGCTTTGGGCAAAAGAAAGGTGTGATCTCACTTTTTTTTCTTGGAAGTATTCTTTTACTTTAAATTATTTTAGACTATACTTTCAGGGATCATTTCTATAGTTTGTCACTTACTTTAAAAGGGACACTTTGAGTAGAGATTGTGGGACAAGAGTAAAAACAGAAGGAACATGTAGGAAATTATGGCAAACGTCCAGGCCAGTGTTGGTGGTGACTTGGTTTTGGGTATTAAGTTATGAAGCAGGAAGAGGGCAAAGCCAACAGAGCATGTTACAAACAGAAAAAACACATGAGGAAAACATCTAGGATGAGTTCCAGGTTTGGGGCTTGAAAAACAAAATGAATAATGGTGCCCTTCAACTCTACATACAATACATTTTGTTTTCCTATTACTCCCTTGTGAAAAATGTAGCTATGCTGGTATATCCACTCTGCAAGATAGTTGGCTAACTTCCTAAAAGAAACACTCAATATACACTTACTTAGCATATGTCTCAGCAACCACATGCTGGGGTATTTACCCCAGACAACTGAGAACTCATGTCCAAACAGATAACCTACGTGAATGTTCAGGACAGCTTTATTTGTATTAGCCCAAAACTAGAAACAACCAAAATGCCCCTCAATAGATGAATGGTCAGACAATGGCAAACAGATCCGAACCATGAAACACCACTCAGAAATAAAAAGGAACATATTGTTGATGTACTCAATTACTTAGATCTCAAGGGGATTATACTGAGTGGGAAAAGCCAATTTCAAAAGGGCACATTTTGTATGATTCCATTTATATAACATTCCCAAAATCAAAAAATTATAGAAATGAAGAGCAGATCAATAGTTGGCAGGGGTTAGGGTGCTTGGGCGGGGGGCAATGATTAGGTGTGACTGTAGATCCGGTAACATAAGGGATCACTAAGATCTTATTTTACAACAACAATCTTTGTGGGAATGGAACTATCCTGTACCTTGATTTCAGTGGTAGTTACAGGAATCCACCCATGTGATAGAACACCAACAAAGTATACCCATTGTACCAAAGTTAGTGTAGGTCTTGTACTGGAGTGTGATAAAACGTAACTATTAGAGACAACAATGTGAAGAACACAAAAGCCCTCTCTGCACTATCTTTGCAAGTTCCAGTGAATTTATAATTACTTGAAATACATTTTTAAAAATGTAACTATGCTCTAAGGCAAAATGCATTACATAAATATTAAAAGTAGTAAAGCAATAAATACATCTTAAAAAACATTGTCTTCTGAATTTATAAAAGACCTTTTTCCCAATACATCTTACCATTGTGGTATGTAGGCAACAGTGTCTCCTGATGTAATTTTTGCTCCTAAAAGCCTCTGGAGCAAACAACACTTGGAATCCTCTCTCTCCCTCTAACTGTTAACTTTAACCAGTAAATAGAACCTGTGAGTTCTTGTTTCCATACCCGTACAAAGGAGGTAGAGGGGCAGAAACTAAACAACTATTAACATAGGTGCTCCAGTAGCTCTCAGACATTCTGAACTCTGAAAACTACTTTGCTTACACCCAAGACATTGACCCTTCATTGGCCAGCTGGCACTCCTGGATTCTAACATCCTTCCCATCAGTGTCAAAATGTAAACCTCTGCAACATGAAAACTTAAAAAGGATGGCTTAGACCAAAACCAATGACTGTGATCCAAAGGCTTAACAGTGTCTAATAACACTAATCAAAATTCCAATACAATAATATTAAGGTTATTTTAGGTATCAAAACTAGGTTTAGATAAATCATCTAAGTCAACTTGAAGGTCTGAATAGTGGTGACTACTCCCTAAGATCTTATTTTACAACAACTTCTTTGGCATATATTTCCTTAGTGTTTTGGCCTTCTTACAACACCCAGTCTCTCTGAGTGTGGAACTCATGGCCTTTAGCTCCGTTAGAGAGCATTCTACTCCTAAGAATTCCCTCAAGGCATTTAGTACCCAGGTACCCATGCTAAATCCTAGAAACTCTTATCATTGCTGAATAGGTTTATATTTACTAATCCTTACATTATCTCAAACAGGCATCTATCCAACTTAGAGTGTTTGTAATGGAAATTAGATTTATAAACCTTTTTTTATTGGTCTTAATTGTAAAACCTGCATAAAAGCATATCCTGAAATCAACTTTAATTCAATAATTCTTTTATTTTGTAAAATATTGTCTAATCTATGTGTCTCACAACAGATCCTGTCTGCCTTTCTGGAATTGAATGCATTGCCAACAAAACCTATGGAATGTGCCAGATGCTGCCCGTCTAGATGCTGGTCTCCCTGGGAAAGAGCTCTGCCAGGTACAACATTGTGAATGGAATTGAATCACAGTTTCCATTTGGATGCTTGTATCAGTCTATCCACACTATTTTAAGTGTGTTAACATATTCCAAAAAATAAAATATATTATTTTGCATTTTTCACTTTCTAAAGTTGAATAAAATAAAAACCAACGAAAATTATATGGATTAAACACCTTTTGAAAACTAAGTAGTATTCATTTTAATCCGGCCAGAGATTGGAGCATGGAAAACTGCCAACAACAATCACTTGTAAAAATAAAAGTAAATAAAAAATTTAAAAGCAAGATACTTACAGCCAACCATCATCATGGCCACCGAAAACATCTTCTCCACATCAGTGGTAGGAGCTATGTTTCCAAATCCTATGGTTGTAAGGCTTGTCATGGTAAAGTAGAGAGAGGACACGTACAATGAATCCTTGCTGGGTCCTCCTTCCCATATCCCCGTACTGGTGTTGTATCGATACGGAGTCCCAATGCTCGAGGCCAGCTGGTAGAGCCAACTGCCTTTTTGGATGTTGTTCGTGACTTCATTGATGACCTCGTAGTCCCCAATGCTGTACCATATGCAGGCCAGCCAGTGGGCAACTAGTCCAAACACACACACCAGGAGCACAAGGACCGCTGCTCCATACTCTAGGTAATGGTCCAATTTCCTAGCAACACGGCCCAGTCGCAAGAGACGCACCACTTTTAAAGAACTGAAGAGACTGCTGATTCCCTGAATAAAAGAAAAGAAATGGCACACAGTGTCAGAAAGGAAAACGGTACAATGGCTCACCTTCATGAACTTGATCATCACCCACCTATATACTAACAACATAATCATAATACAGTTCTGACTTTGTCAACAAAGTCAAAAAGCTGAAATTATGAAAAAAACATTTTTTGAATGCAGATTCCTTCCCTCTCAGAAATAAGCTATTTGTGAGTTCTTACACAAAGCATTTCATTAGCTAAGAAAGGCCCAATTTATTTTCGTAAGTGCAGTATAAATAGCACAGAGAAAAAATAAAGGAGAGAACTGCTTATGAAATGTATAATAGAAATAGGGTGATGGGTTCAGGCCTTCTATTTCTTCTCCTATAAAACTTTTTCTCTAAATATTTTTTCTTAATTTATAATAGCTACAAACAGAAAATGTCTGAAGAAGGAATCCCAATCTTACAGGCAAGCAAACAGAAAACATTTCTGTGTGTATGGGAAGAACCAGCAAATACCATTGTTTGGCTGCCATACTGGCTGTCGCAGTCAAGATAAGCACAAACTTTGAGAAAATGAAGAGACAAACTTTGAATGGGTACACAACCTACCAAAGCCGATCATCCTCTAGCAACAGTCACAGAAAAGAATATCAAAAAGGGAAGAGCAGCAAACTAAATCACATTTTGTTGAGAAGCTTAAAATTCCAAAAGCAGCATTATACAGATGGAAATAGAGCATAGGCTTTCTCCAGTCAATGAAGGTCCCATAGCTACTTTTTGGAAGCATGTAATAAGCCACCTGGGAAGACAGGATAAATGCATCCCTGATACAAGGAGGGAAGAGAAAGCAGTGACTAAGGAAGCCTCTCATCACCTCCAGGTCTCATGACATCCTTAGTGCTAATTCTGTCTCCCAGAAGGGACACAGGAATCGAACCTAACTTACTCTGAGCTCAATTCTAACCAACACAGAGAAACTGGTTAGTGTGGTGGACCAGGATGACATTAATGAGACTCTAAGTTATAGCATCATAAAATTCTTCACAGTTAAGGTAAAAAGGTTAAAAATACATTTGGTTATACTATTTTCCATAAAATTGAAATTTTTCAAAATAAAAACTTGAAAGAGAGTGAAAAAAGCAAAGAGAAGTAGAAATAGGAGACCTTATGGAAGTGAAAGAGTAGAAGCATCCTGACAGTTTTTCGTTCCAACCTTGATGTCCTTAAGCCTGGCTCTGTTTCAGTTCCCAGTCACAAATGTTGTGCCATAAATGAAGCCTTAAAATAAATTCTCATTTCACTTGAACACTTGGGAAGAAAAAAGGATGCTGAATTTTAGGTAGATCAAAAGAGTAGCCTTAATAAAATTCAAAGATGAATTAGCACAATTCAATGACATGAGATGTTGAGAGGTAAGAAGATTCAAAGGAACATGAAAGCCCTAGAAAATGAAACTATGTAACCATCTCACTTATATTTGAACTCTAATGAACAAAATATACCCATGAACAGGATAGACACAGAGGAACGCATACATGGAGCAGACTAACAGCTGTCAGTGGGGAGGGGAGAATGGATGAAAGAAAGTGAAGGGATTAGCCAAAGAACACACAGGCATAACCCACAGACACAGACAACAGTGTGGTGATGGCCTGAGGGAATTGGGGGTGAGGACTGGATGGATGTGGGCAAAGGGAGGGTGAGGAATGAGGACATCTGGAATCTTGTAAACAATAAAAATAAAGTTTAAACAAATAGGAAAAAACTAAGCATTTGTTGAGAACCTCTATAAGCCAAGATTCTGAGTTGGGTCCTGGGGACATTAAAATAAATATTCTTTGCTTCTGCTCTAAAGAAACCCACGGTCTGGATCAAAAAACTGTGGTACATTTCCACAAAGGAATACTATGCAACAGAAAGAAAGAAGGAGCTCCTACCCTTCGAGACAGCATGGATGGAACTGGAGAGCATTAAGCTAGGCAGTGAAAGACAAATACCATATGATCTCACCTGTAAGTGGAACCTAATCAACACAACAAATAAGCTAGCAAAATAGAACCAGGGACATTGAAATAACGAACAAACAGACTGTAACCAGAGGGGAGGGGGCAGGGGGGTAATGGGGAATAAAGGGGAAGGATTCTCAAGGAACATGTATAAAGGACCCATAGACAAAGCCAAAGGGGGGTAGGATTGAGGATGGGAGGTGGGGATGGGTGGGGTGGGGGGAGTGGTAAACAACTGTATCTGAACAACAATAAAAAAAGAAAAAGAAAATTCACAATGTGCATGAAAAACTCAGGGTTAAAATACAAACAGTGTGGCTATAGATGCTGTTCTTTGGTTAACAAAAAATTTTAAAGGAACTATGATATACCTGTTTAAACTCTACAAAGAAAAGTCATTTCTACCTGAATCGTCATCTATAAAAGAAAGAGAAAGAAAAACAGGAGAATCTTTATCCATTCAAACTAAAAAATAGTCCCAACTCTCAACTGGAATGTGAAGAATGAGGGTCTACTGGAACGAGGCCTCAGTGAGTGAGAAACGGACACTCTCCTCATTTCCGATGCAGGCAGGATTATCCTAAAGGAGGCAGTTCACCCTGAGGGGCACCTGCTCTGGACTCCACTTCAGAAAAAAGCACATATTCTACAGCCATGTCCAATACCACTTTAATATCACAAAATATTTTGTAAACTCTCTGACAGGTTCCATGCTACCACTTTATCCTTGGTTTTAGCCAACTCCCCAACTGACATTTCTTTCAAAATCATTTTCTAGGGCAGCCCTTTTCCATGCCTCCATTATGTGTGAGGATTCTCTTCAGGATTCCCTGAGCCCTTTCCTGGTTGATTTAGTCAGTTGTTTCAGCTGACTTCTATGGGAGGATGATTCACAGGTCCACTTCTTAGCACAAAACTCTCCAATATGTTCCTGACCCAAGCCAAATGTCTTCTATGCATTCCCTTTCTATGTCCTGTGGGTAAGTCCCAAGGGGAATCCTTCTCTGCTCCTGAGTCAATTCTCTGTCTCCCGCTCTTGTGAACGACAGCATGATCTACCCAGTCCCTCCAACCTGAGACTGAGCCTCAGCTCCTCCCTTCCCCACCACATACAGAGCTGCTGACCAAGTCCTGAGGATCTTACTATTCCAAGTGCCCAAGTGCCCAGTACACATCTACTTTTTAAATCTCTCAAAAAGGTCCCTTCTTTCCCATTTCCAAGGCCATGCCTTAGTCAGGACTTCCTGTTTTTCCTTCTTTGTAGGACAAGGAATAGCCTCACCATTGGTAACCCTACCTCTATTCTCACTCCCTTTAACTCATGCATCACCCTATACAAAGCGACCACCTGGTGGTTTTTAAAATCATGTCAATCTAATCCTGTCCTTCCCTAACCTAAATTTTTTTTAATGCTATAGGATTAAGTATTAACTGTCTACTAGGACATGGAAAGCCGTTCAGAACCTGGTACCTGCCTGCCTAACCAGCATCTCTCCCATGACTGCTCCTTGTGCTTTCAGCACTCAGCAATGCATAGTCCCTAAAGTGTCCATTCTGCTTCACGTTACATTACAAGCTGTTCCCTCTTCTGAAAGGGTTTGTGCCTCACACACTCTTGGTGACTAAGGTCTTACAGTTTATGGCAAACATTCTCTCCTCCAGTACATTTCTCTGGCTTCTCCCACTCCCCTAGCCCGACCATCTTCACTGACATTCCCTCATCCTCTCTCTCTGACCCTGAGAGTGGGGTGTCCTTCCTTTGTGTTATCAGACACATTTGCACATCTCCATTGTACCAGTTATCACCATAACCCGTTATGACAAGTCTCTCTGTAGGCACGGCATCCCAGGAAACTCTAAACCACTGAAGAACATATCTAGTGTCCATTACAAAGTTTGATGTATGGTAATATGTTAAACTGTCAATACATTTAATGAATAAAGAGAAAAATATTGCAACACAAGCAAATGCGGCTGAGATGAATTTGGGGGATTTTAATTAGTAATAAACTCAATGTGATCTAACAGTAAAATATAGATAACAAAACAGTCTATGTTACTTTGAGTTGCATGAGTAGAGTTATGGCAGCAAGTATGAAAAAGAAATTCTCTGTAATTTCTCCACTGACCATACCACAGCTATAGGCAACATGTAAACTATGTTCAGAAGAGGACTGCTAAAAAAAAAAAGAAAGAAAGAAAGAACTATCCCTAGCTGGTATAGCTCAGTGGATTGAGCTCGAGACTGCAAAGCAAAGGGTCCCAGGTTTGATTCCCAGTCAGGGCACATGCCTGGGTTGCAGGCCAGGTCCCCAGTTGGGGGCATGCAAGAAGCAACCACACATTGATGTTTCTCTCCCTCTCTTTCTCCTTCCCTTCCTCTCTCTCAAAAAAAAATAAAATAAATAAAATCTTTAAAAAAAAAAACTAAAAGTATGCCCTATTCTGTAGTGTGTAAAAAAGATGGGAAAAAGGAAACTGGGGTAGAATCACAGAAGGATGCAGCAAAGATTTTAACAAGCCTGTACCATATACTTCCACACAGTAAACCAACCAGAAAATAGGATTCTTCATTGCTACTTAAAATACAGAAAAGATGATAATAATGCTGAGTAATTACTACATGCCAGGTTCTATTCTAAGAGCTTTGTATGTGTTTAAAATTTTAATTTCCAAAACTATTCTATGTGGCATTAAAACATAGCTCAGAAAGGATAAGAATTTAATTTGACTAAGTTTATGTAGCTAGTAAAAGGAGGAGCCAAGATTCGAATACGAGCAGTCTGGCTTCGGGCCCCTTGCTCCTCACCACTTCACTACCTGATCACACTATGGAACTCACTGTACCTAGAGCATAACGTTAAATGTAACTAAGCACATGAGTACCTATAATGTTGGCTTCAACATAGACATTCTCTATATGACTGAATAAAGGATATTAAATACTAGCACCCTCATACCCTGACCCAGGCACAATAGGGGTCAGACTGTGGAGGCCCTAGAACTCTATA